AAAATATTAAAAATCTAGGGCTTTATAGAAAAAACCCATACATCTTGAATAGTCAGTACAGCCTCTGGAAATAAAACAGATTATTACCTTTCAATGATACAGATAATAAACAAATCTGATTAATGGTGCCTGGTCATGCATTTGCTGCAATCTAGGATGCAGTGCTTTAGAAATGGTCAGGTCAAATGCATAGACATAGACATCTCTTCTGAAGGGAGTTTTTCCATGGCTTATGGTGGGGAGACATACCTAGTTAAACTTTGGAACTGTTAGGTCTACTACTGAGTTAAATTTTTGTCAGGCAAATATTCCATGGATTTAGCAGCAGAAATTTATCTCACATTCACCAAACTCTTCGTATATAATAAAAAAACCCTGACAAATTTGCTGCATTTTTGTTTTGAAATTTTGGAAATAATGTTTCTATATTTATTCAAAATTAGTATCCCTTCCAAAAATATGTTTCTTTTTCACTTTTTAGAACTTGGGTCCATTTATATCTTTTTACATACTAGGGAAAATGCTTTAAATATTTTTATTTAATGCAAATTTAGAAATGCCTTCTCTATTAGCAGTAATGAACTGAAAATCTCTTAATAATATAGCTATATTTCATTAATATTGAAAATCTTTTTACCATTTATACACAGTGGGGATGAGGCTCTAATTCTATTCCAGGACTGATAAGAATTTTTTTTTGTGGCTAGCATTGTCTTTGGTAATTTGATTGTACAGTTATTACAGAAGCACTGTTTCTTAAATAGCCACTTTGTATTTTAAAAGAAAGCAATTTTAAAAGAAGGCAATTAATTGTGGACTAGTCACTCTTCAAGTAAATAGCTAATTTTAAGAAGACATTAAATGTTAGTTATATTCTACCCAATGTTGCAATATTTTTGTGAAGGATGGTATCATCATGGAAATCAGTGATCAATCAGCAATTGTATGCAGTATCCCTAGTAAAAATTATTTTTGGAAGATCCAGACACATTTCTATAGAATAAGTAGTAGGGGTGGAATAAAATTAGCATACTTTTTCCAGTGACCTGTTGTTTTTTTAATCTACTGAAAAAAATGTGGTACCACTTTAATGCCACTGTTCAACCTTCAGTGAATCAAGTTCTCCACAGATCTCCATTTTTCCTATTTAAAATACACCTTACCCTTGAATGGGGGTAAAAAAATCTGAAACCAAACCCCATCTTTTTCTAATTTGTAGACTAATGTATCAGGAATTTAAGGAATTTAACATAGTTATATCAAAATATGGAAGTAGACATTGCAAAATGAGAAAAATCCTGAAAGTCTTCTAAATTACTGCAAATTGTTAAGAGAGCTTCATTGTTTTCAGGAAGTAGAAAATACTCCTTAGCTTTTTAGTCTTCAGTCATTTTTATCATGCATACAATATGTGATGGAGCTAGTTAGTCTGATCAACCTAGCTTTTTTTCCTTATAAATCGGAAAATAGGCTGTAACTCTGAAAAGGGTGTGTAAAGGATTTAGATAGTCTGCATCGCTCTTATGTTTGAAAATAACCTTGAAATATTTCTTGAATTATCACTACCAGAAATAACCAACACATACGTTGTCAGTGATAGTGCTTGATTGACAAGGTATTGGCAATGTATATACTACAAATGTGAGGGAGCTTTCTTCTAAGTAAGAGAGCAGGATGGCTGAGTAGATATCTATCCATTTATTTATCTAAAAATTATATCATGATTGACAACTGATTTCTTCAGTATGTTCATGAATTTACTTCAGTGGTAAAAGCTCATTACTGCTTTGTTAGTGGAATATGCTACCAATTCTTCAGATCCACATGGATATACTTATGCAGATAAATTAATTTTTCATGAATGTACATTTTCCAAGCCTGAACAAGCAGTACCTCTACATTCACACAGTCCTCCTTTTACCAAAATAGCTCTAGAAGGTTTTGAGCTAAACTGATGTTAGGCAATGAGGATGTGAGAAGAAGTAATTAATATGCCAGTATCTCTGACTATTGGTAGAATTCCACTCATGTTTATAAAACTCTAGAAATTCATACTGTATTGTATCTTCCAGACCAACTGTTTGACTCCCTGTTTGAAGTGTTTTTTTCCATAGACTAAACTCTCCATAACAATTAGTCACATTACTTTAGGCTGTTATCTTTTTTTGTAGAAGTTATGAACTAATTTTCCATTCATGAACATGACCTGTTCTCATATACCACTAAAAAAAATCCTCAGTCAAACTAGATTTCCTGTTGTACCTCATTCTCTTTCGGCATGGAGGAATGGCAATATGGCATTGTGTTGACGTTGAATGAGAACACAAACTAGATGAATCCTATAAGGCATACTCAATTTAAAACAGTTCAGTAATTGTTCATTTCTTATGTAATGAGAAGAATGTAATGTATGTCTTAAAGAATGTAATGTCTTAAAGACAAAAAATGTAGAATAACAGTAAAACTTTCAACTGAAAGCTACAAAAAGACAATTAATACATTTTGTTAAAAATCCTATTTTCTTCAGCTAACCTTATTTCCTAGAATGGCTTTGATAATGACTAGAAAGTGAAATGGGATTGCTAGCTCATCTCCTCTTTGTTGTAATCATTACCTAGTTGTTTTCTTTTTTAATCTTTTATCTCTCTTTAGTCTTTATTCTGCATGTCAAAATCTACTCTCTAGATTATATGCTTCATACACTGCAAAATATGCTTCAGTGAAATAAGTATGGCTGATTTCAACTAAACTGTGTACCAGCTTAAATTCTTCATCCTATGAGATAAAGAGGTTTGAGAGAGAGAGAGGTTAGAGAAGAAGGTCACAGGAGAGTACTTATGGCAACTTCTAGCCTTTACAGAACAATATATTATAAAATGAAATCATGTAGACTCATGGCTTGTTTTACTCTTGGAAGAAGAAAGATTCAAGGGCAGAGTTTACTCAGTTTCTTTCACAAATGATATCCACTTAATCTTAGGTATCTTAAAAGGTGACTAAATAAATTTAAGTTGGTAATGCTGTAGCTTCTCCACTTACTAATTCCCTCTTCCCAAGTAAAAAGAAATATTTTTAAAAATGCAGAAAGTAGCTGTATTTTTCCTGCACTTTGTCTATCCACATCTATCGTTTCAATAGAGAATACATGCCTGTAAGTTTCTGCTTTGGCTATGACTATTCTGAACTGTGTGACTGCTACGTAAAAGAGGAGAAGAAATAATTTTCTATGAAGGCTGAGGATATGGTATGGTTTCTCTGATGGAATTCGGGACTTTGGAGTCTTGATTTAGTGTTCCACAGATTAAAAGTAATCTTTATATAAAATAAGTACTACTTACAAATTCTAAGGTATAAAACATATCAGAACTGGGAAGCGCTTATCGAAGAGGCTCATGTTACTTATGAAGTTTTTGGCATGCACTTTAAGTTGATGAGATTTGTTGTTATGTGTGTGTGTTTATTTGCACACATACATATAAATATACACTACACTGCAAATTGTGCCTTGACAACTACTGTGCTCTTTTAAACAGTAAAGAACCTAAAATTTCAGAGTGGATTTAAGATACTGAATCAAATATTCTGTCATCATATTGTTACTCCTCTGTAGCAACCAGTGTAGAGTAGGATGTATTGTGTTTAAAAGCAAAGTCAATATTTTTTCTTGAAGAATTGCTTTAAGTTAATGCAGTGATTCCATGTGAAAGCATCCCTGCGTATAGTTATATACATGCATGTAACTAAATGCATAGGATATGTTGTTGATTGGTATAGATTAAAGAATAACAATCCTCCATAAATTATTTACAAGGCTTTCTCACAAGTAGCGGCATGACAGAGGGGTTACCTGTGTGTTATCCAGCTACCATGAAAACACAGCAGAAAGGGAACAGATATATGCTAGTTTAAAATATTTGTCTAATATGTCACTGTGTAGCAGCTCTCTGAACACTGCTCCCAGCAAGCTGGCTCTCTGCACAGTATGAGTACGGTCACTCAGAGAGAGGCATGGTGCAGTCTTCTGTCTTTGTAAGCCCAAATTAAATCAGCCCTTGAAGAGCTGTGAAGTTATAGAGCCAGAAGAACAGGAAATGGTTGGTCTCTGAAACAGAGTTACGCGACCTGATGCTTCTTGGCTCTCACATTATAAACCGCTTCAAATATTATTCCTCCACTGTGAAGTACAGCATTTTGCTTAGCTGCTTTTGTGCCTCCTTTGTGCCACTCTGGGGAGATGCCTTGGGTTCCCTTTCTCTGCTGCGTGTCTTGAGGTGTCTGTCTATCAGCTGTACCACACAAAAGCTAAAGGCATGAACGAGGGCCGAAGGAGCAATTGTGGGAGAGTACAGGAAGGCTAAAAGCATTCACAGGTGGATAGGTGATTTACACATTCCTATGTCCAGAATGCAAGCTGCCCTTTGGCAAAACCAAAGCTTGTGCTTATCTAGGGCTTAAGGCTTAAAATAGGTACTTTTCCTCTGCGGCTGTAAGGAAAATTAGGTCTCTCATCCATGCTGGAGTGCTTCGGCTAAATTTAACTCTGGCTGTTGGAAAGACTTACTCATAGGATTATGGCACAGCTGTGGAAACTACTGCTATTGTTTTGGTTGGAAATTTATGAGACAACCTCAGGTGGAAAAAAAAAAAAAGCATTTTTTTCTTATACATACATGCTAGTGTGGATGATGCCAGATCTGAAAGACAGCGGTGCACAGCTGAACAGTGTCAGGGAGCAAGTAGTGCAATAGCATAGTGCAAACCAGCGCTATTATAGGAGGCCGATGCCCTCCCCCCATTACCTGCATGTGTGACTAGAAACACCACAGACAAGCGTATAGCAAGCTTTACATCTTGCTTTCTTTTTAAAAAAAATGTCACTGCAATAAATTGCTAAGCAGTTACGTTCTGGTATGTGAAAGCTGTGTGGCATTGCTTACATTTGCCAATGCATTTTGGTCATACATTTATTTCAAGGTGTGCTGTCTGTATTTCTCTTCCAGGTTCAGGTCCTTCGCAACGCAGGGGAAGAAGTGACCCTGACTGTGTCCTTTCTGAAAAGAGCACCTGCTTTTCTCAAACTGCCATTGAATGAAGATTGTGCATGTAAGCCTTTGTTATTTGGCAAAAAAGAAAACTCAATTCAATGCTCATGCACGCTTGCAACTTCCGAACTTAGTGTGCATTGAGGGTGATTGACAGCAGCTTTTTTGCCTAGCATTGCTGCCTGCATATGAGCTGCTTGTATTGCGAGATTGTGCAGTAACATTCACCTCAAGGAAAAAATTGCTATCTTGGCTTGAAAAACAGATCACCAGGCATTTGGCTGGTGTGAATCAGCAAAGTTACAGGTGAAACAGTGGAATTACATTAGTTTACGGCAGATGACATCCTGATGCAGAGTATTTAAAAGCAGTTTTCAGGCAGCATCAGATAACATTTTAGTCTGAAAGAGATTTGTCTTGTAAATGTGAAAATGAAAATGTGTGTGTGTATTTAGATGGCTTAACTTTACCATTTAAAATTCAGAGGCTTTGGTGGAGGTGTCTGTCTACCTAAAAATAAATTACTCTGGGATGATTAGTATTTTGTTTAAGTCCAACTGAAGTTTTAGTCAACTAGCCCCATGAGAGACATGTGGAGACAGCTGTCTTCCTTTAATTATATTAAATTGTAAGTGTGAGTGCATAATTATAGACAGTTGCAGCATATCTAAGCATATTTATATGCCAGCCTGTGCCTTTTGTCACTGCTGCTTTCCTTCTGCTTCTTGCTCCTAAGAGGGTAAAATGAACTGCTTAATTTTTAAGCAACAAAACAATAAATATTTGATTTCAACACATTTCACCTTTGATTTTGAGTGAGTAGGAATGAAATAAACTAAATTATGAAATAATATTTTATACAATCATATGTTGAAATGCTGTCTTTATCTTTCACCTAGGTACTAAATTTTAGTGACACAAGAAAAAATTTAGAACACCATATTCTGAAACAAAAATATATCCCAGTACATTTGTCCCTTTTATGAAAGGTTGTGGTATCACAGAATACCCTGAGTAACGAACACAAACATGCATTTGCATCAATCCTATCATGTTATTTTTGAGGTGTAGCACTGTAATTTCCTAAACTGTTACAAGAACAGTTAGAACAGTAAACTTCAATGAGAGTAACAAAAACATTATCTGACTAGTTCCTTCAAGTGAAAACTAAGCAACGAGGTACACACTTTTATTATCAAATTTGCAAAAAAACTTTGGGTTTTTTTTCTTACTGAACAGATTATTAACTCTTCTAAGCAAAGCACCAGGAGAGGAATTCTTGAGCCTTCACTCAGCTTGAAAAGGCACTCCTCTCAAACCAGAAGACATATAGTGGCTGAATGGAGAAAGTAAATGAATGTTAAATATGACAAAACTAGTGGGGGGAGCGGAGTACATACATACAGACGTACACAAATTTGAATTATAGCGTTATAGATTAATGAAGATTTTTTGGTGTATTCATGTTTGTATTAGGTGCCCCCAGTGACCAAAGCAGTGGCACATCCTCTCCCCTATGTGACAGTGGTTTGCATCTCAACTACCATCCCAACAACACGGTAAGAGCTTATATTTCCTTGATGGAATTACACAGAAGAATAATAATACTCAGAAGAATAATAATACTCTAATAGCTAAGTGGAAGTAACTAATAAAGGACAGCAACATGGGAGGAGCTCTAATTAACGTTGGAGATAGCCAGTTCCACAGGGGGCAAAAAGAGTTGCCAGATATTATGGCTGCAAATTAAAATATGACAAATTATACCAGCTGAGATTGTGTCTTGATAGATATGATGGCTATTTTTATCTGGGCAATAGGGATTTTGTGGAAGTTTTTTTCTTCTAGATTATTTCCACAGCATAGGAGCTAAAATTATTAAAATGAAAATATATCTATTTAAAGAAAAGGTAGAAAACTTTTTCAGAATATTTTTCCATGATTTTTATTTCATTTATTAACTAATTGGCAGAGGATGATTTAGGTACATGTTTTTGCCTATTTTTAAGGTGAGAGCATTTTAGTTCTAGTAATTTACACTTAAAATCTTACTGAAGAATGATAGCATTATGGAGCACAGTCTATTTAGGATGAAATGCTACAGACATCTGATCAGATTTTTAGTAAAAGATGCCTTTGAAGTGCTACAAGGGGCTTTTAACAATTTTCTTAGCCAGGAAATGCAAAATTTCCATTATTTTATATAGATATAAAGGGGTTTTTGCTGTGTATTTGGCTTTATGATAGGTGAAAATACTCAGATAAAATAAAAAGCACTGAATAAATAAACCAATATACAGCATAATTATTACAGATATATTAAAAGAACAGAAATGTAAGCATTGTTTGGTAGACTTTGCTGTTTATAATTTCTGGCCTGTTTTATTTTTCTTTCATACTTTGCTGGTAAAGGTTTAAAATAGGAGCCAAGATTCTTAAAGTCAATAGCACAGATTCTAAGCCTGATTATAATCTGGAAAAACCTTTAAGATTTATAAACTTTTATGGAGCTGGAATTCATAAAAAAGGGGCTAAAACCAGTAAAATTGGTGTCTTAATGCAGGTAAAATAATAATAAAAACATATATATATATATATAAAAACTAGTGCAACAACTTCGGAAGCAGACTTATCTCAACAGTCTGTATATGTATGCATGTATAAAGGCTATGCAGCAGATCCTAAACTTATTTTGCTAGCCACTTCCTTTCTAACTTTGCTTTTAGGATAAAAACCATGCTTCCATTTGTGAATCCTATTTCTGCAGGTGTCGAAACTGATCTAAATTAGCCACGGTTTCTATTTGAACTGATAATTATTTACTGAAACCAAATCTTTTTCTCTCCATTTAAATAATATGATCAGGCATCATGAGTCTATAATTCACCTAAAATAAATTCTTCTGCTAAAGACCAGGATGCAGTTCTTATCTCAGATGTCCTCTTGTAATGGGAATAGAACGCTTCATAAAACCAAATGAGGCCTCTGTATGAATTCCTAAATTATGTACAACTCTTATGTCATCATCCCTCCATTTTCTCAGAATGTTCTCTAGAATGCATTATGGCTTATGGCCATAGTCTATTTCTTAATTTATAGCCTTGGTGATTTGCGTGAAGGAGATTTCTAACTCAGAATTTGGAGTAACAGGACTGGTTTTGGTCTTTTGTCAACAATTCAGAGTTATGCAAGCTAAAGGTAGGGTTAACATTTCTGTTGCAGCCAGATCTAGGCCTACAGTTTGCATCTAAACTTTTTGCCACCTTTCAGCTTTTTCCTCAAGTTTAATCACAGCTGAAAAAAGGTTCCTGAAAGCAGGCAGAAAATGTTAAGAATTCAAGGCAATGTTCAAAACAACATCCTAGCTTAGTCTTTCTAGCCAATCATTTACTTATTTGGATTGAATCTATGGAATATGTCACCAGAGATGCAGTGTTTTAAATAAATGAATATACTTATGAAAAGCCTGCTGTTCAGCTAAACTGTCATTCATAGTGATCTTTTATTTTATATACATAAAAGATAAATTAACATATATGTAAAAGTACAGTTCAAGTTGGCAAAACTTTGTAATTCCATAGATCTTACACAAAAATCACTCTAGAAAAATACAAGGTGTACTTAATTTTTGTAATGTTTATTTTATAGAAGAGACAGGTAAGAAAAAATATGAAGTCTGAGATTAAAAGATTCTAAATGATGCAGGATCAGCAGGTACATTTTTACTGATATAGTAAAAGTACTGCACATACATTTCAGTGAGAATCATGCTTCTTCAGAAAAATAACATCATCACTAGCACTGTTTTGTAAAGCATTTTATAAAGAAAGGAAGCGGTGTTGGATTTTTAAAAATAAAGTTTGATCATTTCACTTTTTATAAGCATTTCTCATTCAAATCTATATTCTGTAAAAATACTGGTGAAATTAGACTGTAGATATTTAAATACTCATTCATTGTAGATATGATCATAGACATAGTAAAGTTCAATTTTCATATAAGTAATGTCTTGTGTAAATAGGTAAAATTAAAATATTCATCATAAGCACGTAGTTTTGACTAACCAATTTTCATGACATGTTAAATCCCATTCACAATTACCAGGTTTTGAAGTGACATCATTAGAATAGACATGTATGTAAAGGTGTACAGGGCCACAGGAAACAACTGAATTATGGTTGTATAGTGAATAATTTCGAGATCACCTTTATTCAGGGTACAGGTATAAAACTAGTAGCTGATGATGTGATACATAGTAAATATTTACTTCTATTCGTGACTAGTCATTTCAAAAAAGGACACAATCTGTTTTCCCTAGGTTTTTAGAATGCTGTTCCTCATACTTCCTCTAAGCATATTGATGTTGAGGTTTATATAGATTTGTTTTATTTGTGAGAAAAAGTTGAGAATCTCTCCAGTGCTAGCTAAAACTGATGCCAAATAATATGGGGAAAGTGGAACACAATGCCAAATGTTCAAAAAACGGGTAGATGTGGCACTTCGGGACATGGTTTAGTCTAGTCTACCCTTGATTGGCTTAGAGTAGACTTGGTAGTGTGGGTTAATGGTTGGACTGGATGATCTTAAAGGTCTTTTCCAACCTAAACGATTCTATGATTCTATGATTCTATGAAATATAAAGTCTTTGAAGTCTCTCTATTTCCAAATCTGCTGAGTACTTATAATGACACCCAAAACTGAGAAGGACCTTTTAATGTTTTTCAGGATACATTATCATGTTCCTCATGGCCAGCATCCCCAGGACTTAGGTGGGAAAAAAGGTGGTGTGATCTTCGGCTAATCCCACTTCTTCATTCACGGTTTTCCCAGTACCTTCCAGGATCAGATTTGTGCAGGTAAAAAAGTTCAGAAAGTTGAAACTTAACTTCTTGGTTGACAGATACAAGCCATAGGGAGTTGCCTTGTTAGAGGAATGGCATTATTAGTTCCACCACAGCTGTCGGAGACATGAAACATTGGAGCTTTCATAAAGGTCTGTCTAGGTCCACCTCGGCCCATATTCTGCTCTGACATCAGCCAGGACCAGGTGCGTGGGGAAGATGTGTGATCTTCCCACTTGCATCTGGTGATCAGCACGTTTCTCAGTTTGAGATTGCATGTAGGTCATCATATTTAATAACTGCTTATGCTCCTGTCCTCAAAAGCTTCTTTCTAAGCTGCTTTTTTTAATACCTCTGGTTTTTGCAAAGCACTGTGGCATTGAGCTCTTCAATGTAATTATGTTTTTAAAAGGTGCTTCCTTTTGTTTCTGTTGAATCTCTCACCTGATAACTTCACTGGGTTAAATAATCTTGTTGTTCCGGAGCAGCAAGGGCTGGCTGCCCCGTGGGGAAGGTGAGCCCAGAGCAGAGGGTGGCAGCGGGGCTGGATTAGGCAGTGTCCATGCAGACAAGGGCCCCGTCCAGCTGCCCCCGGTGGAGGAGCAGAGCAGGCCTAGGGGTGGTCTTCAGATGAGTCCATTATGGTGAAGTGGGGCTTAGGCCAGGCTGGGGAGTAAGCCCATAGATCACGTCCGAATCAGTGGGATACATGTCCAGGCACAAGCGTGGCTGCACCCAAACTCCGGCCAGGACCAGGGGCAAGGGCCTGAGCTGATACGCAGGTCCTGAGTGAGGGGATGGACAGGCCCCCCTCAAGCTCTTTCACAGCAGCCTGATCCCACACCCACAGCCACGCCGCGGCAGAGCTGGCTTCGAGCACAGGCAGCCAGGCACCCAGGAGGGGGAAGGGGGTGGGCTCTGGGCCCTGACCCTTGTATCAAGGGAAATGCTAAATAAGCATTCACGATTTACATTTTTATAACTTCAGATGACTGTCTTCTGTTTTCCAATTCGAAGGATCCTTATGGTTATCTCCTTTTTAGGGAAACCCTTCCATAGCTCTGATTATCCTTGTTATTCTGTCTGTTTCTTTCATAATTCTAATGTATGTCCTATGAGACAAGGTGGTCAGGACTGCAAGGAGGATCCCTCTTGACTTATATTAAGACATAACGATGTTTTCCATTTTTTAATCCATTCTTATCTAATACTTTGTAATAACATTACCTTTTGACTGTCACAGCACTAAGGCGATGGTTTTCAGATAATTATATGTAGTAACTCTTGCATTTCTTTCCTCAATTTTTATAGCTACAGTACGGTTTTTTGTGGCTTACATATAGCTAAGGTTATTTTTTCCCATATGTATTACTTTGCATTTATTATCATTGAATTTCATTGCTATTTTGTCTCCCAGTCACTGGGGAGCTGTCCAAAGCTCATAGTCACTTTTAAATTTATTGCATCATATAAACCTACAACTTGTCATTGTTTAATTAAATATTATCCTAGTAAATCAGAAAAATCAGAAAGGAAGACAAGAATATTCTGGAATTATTATTGTTTTTTCAAGTGTTACACATTTAAATAGAAAAGAAAGTAGCTACGAAATAAACAAGGCAAAGTATATAAATAAGATCATACTTGTTGAAGTTTTGAATACCTAGATACTGTGTGGATTAATTTATCATCTGTATAGATAAGAATGAAATTCTAATACTAAAAAATTCTGTGAGGTCCAGTACGTAAGTCATTAACTGGAGGACAGCTGTCTACAGTTATAGAGCATGTTTCTCCATTACTACTTCTTCTAACACATCAGAAACATTAACTCTGAAAATAAGCACAAAGGACTTATCATTTGTGAGGCTGTGAGGCCTTGCTAATTGAAAAAAACTGCCTTTCCCGTGTAGCCTTCATGTCTGCCAGCTTATATGTGTGAGTCTGGGAAGAATAGTGTATTATGCTATGCCCTGATGGCTCATCAGGCATTAGCAGTTTAAAATTTCCTGTTCCTCTGTTCATACACATGTAAAATTAACTAATTAATACAGAAAAGCTTTATTAATATTTCTGGAAAGACTGTTTGGTGAAAGAACCTCCCCCGTATCTTTTCTCTGCTGTTATGCTCACCTTCCAGTGTTTCGATGGGTCCTACAGTCAACGGATACCATTGGTCCCCAGGGGCGGGTTTATCATCTCCCCCAGAAACTAGGGGAATAGGAGTGTTCTTCAACCTCAGTTTGGGGGTTGTGTGGGGTGAATTTTATGGTTTCTTATCACTAGCTTGTCTAGTGGGGTGCTTGAGGATTCCAGAGGGCATTCAGGTTAATCTTGGAGAGCCTATTAATTTAGAATATAACTCTTGAGTTCCAGAAGGCACAGAACCTGAGATGTGTAGTTGAATAAGAATTCATCTGATCTTAACTTTTTTGCTCTATTATAAAGTTATCAATCTATTATTTGTACTTTTTAATACAAAACACTTATTTAATACCTTATTTTTTCAGGTTTGTGTGGTAGCATGGACTTTGGCTGGTAGACTAATTGAGAAAAATACTATTACAATAATCTAAGGCTAGGGATATCTACCGCCCAGACCACATTCAGAAGTATAGTTGTTAGGTAGCAATGCATCTTATAGTTGGTGCTTATTGATACTTGGGCAAGAACATTCTGGATGAAAGGTTGGGTATGTGCATAGATCAAATACCTAGGAACAGCAGGAACAGTCTAATGCCCCGGATGCATCAGATTCACTGTGTTTGTAGCATAAGGGAAATTTGTGCATCAGGATTGAATCTGGAACATACTGGGTTTTCTTTGCTTCTGCAGGTTAGTGTCACTTGGATTCCTACTTTGGTTTACAATAGGCTGAGTAGAAAGAAGGGGAGTCCTGAAAATAATGCTGTTTTTCCTGAAAGAGCTAATCAATAAATTTGTCTGAGCATCATGCTATGCTCTTTATATAAGGTCTTACTTAGAATTTTATTCTGGAAGAATTTACTATTTATATTTATAGCCATTTAAAATAAAGGATGTAGTAAACAAATGCTAGCTACATTACCTGAAGATGCTTTAAATAAATCTTCCTCAAAAACTTTACCTGAATTACTGTGAAAATGAGTCATTGAAAGAAGTAGCTCTCAGTTTGTACCTTTGGATTTTAAGGAAAAATCACCAACCATGTGAAAAGGCAAGTAACCTGATAAGTTAGCTGATGGATTTAGATAAACCACTGGTCTCTGCATGATCATGTTAGGGTATATAAGCCTTATCCTTCTGTAAGAGCTAGTTCTCATGATGGGTCTTTCAAAACAAAGGCATGGCTCTAAGTTATTTTTAATGCTTCTCCTAACTGAAGGAAAAGCCTGTACTTGACACGGATGCAACAAAAACCTTTATTGTAGAGGTAGAGATTAGCGCTACATTCTACACAACTAGAATATAATTTCAAGAGGTAAAAAAAAAAACTTTGCAGAATGAATATCTTTCTTGAGATGTCAGAAACTGTCGTCAGTGACAGTTTTACGCTAAAGATAACACACACTTTGCCTGAGCCATTCTCAAATAATCTGAATGATGTACTTAGTTTTAAACCACGAATTGATCATTAACAGATGGGTTTGTAGCAGAATGGCAGCATTGGTATTCCATGTATGTTTAGTAACTTCTTATTCTGGGATATGGATTAATATTGAGTTTTTTTGGTTCTGAAGCCAGAGACCTGGGAGCATTTCAAAGGCTGTTAGCCAAGAAGGCTATTTGCTAAAGAAATTAGGTTTGCTATTGCTTTAGCATCTGAAAGTTTTCTCTTGTTCTATAATTGCTCAGCACTCAGCTGTAGAAAGTCAGTCTATAATGCTTGACAGATAATTGTGTAGGTGCCCAGATTGGTGCTGGGATAGAGGCACCCAGGTGGCCACTGCTTTTGTCATTGGATGTCTCTTGGCATTCCAGTGTATTTTGCTAATGATCCTGTATTCAAAAATGCAGTTGGAGAATTTTGATCAATTTTGAATTCTCCAGCTTTTCTATCAATAGTTTAGAAGCAGATCAAAATCTTATAACCAAGAGCAACCAACAACGTTCCAGACAGCAATTACTGTATTTAAACAATGTATTAGAAAAATGAAACAAAAGTTGTTGAGAAAAATGTACTGTATTCCACTGAATTTCTCAAATTATTGCCTACAGTGTCCAGTGCACACTTTCCTTCTCTGTGATCTGCAATATTAAAGTATTAACTCTTTGGTATGCATCAGCTATTTCACTTGTTTAGCTTCTGAAGTCACACAGTGTTGGTCAAGGTTCTGTGGAGCTAGTATATGGAATTTTTTTATAGCTTTATGGAAACTTAATATAGTCTGAGTTGACCTTTTAGCATGATCTTTTTAATATGTCAGGTATTTATAAAACAGGAAAACCAGCAATTTATCAGTGTTCAGTGGCTGACCTTCATTGTAATTGAAAGAAAAGCATTTCTACAAGTATTGTTAAGATGATATGCTAGAATAGATGAAATTTTCTTCTGACCTGATCTGTTATGACATGTCTATAGGCAAAATGCGTTCCAAGTAATTGCTGTGGATGGGGTTTGCAGTGGAATAATTCAGTGTCTCTCTGCTGAAGACTGTATTGACTGGCTACAAGCAATAGCAAGTAATATTTCCAACCTCACAAAGCACAATGTAAGTATGGATCCATGTAAGCCAGAAGCCCAATCATATGTGATTATAACTGTCATAAAAGCCTAATGGGTTCACACACAGAATTATCTGCATATAAACAATGCTTGAGGCTGTCTGAGAGAAGTCAACTCAAGTTTGTCATGAAATCAGACTTTGTGAGAAATCATTGAATGGGAAAATATTCTCCCCTACAGTCATATAGTTCACTTCATTGCTATCAGAGTTATTCACTTCTCAGCAATACCAGCTAGCATTAGAAACAAAGACCACACACACAGGAGAAAGCCAGGTGTGATGGGTAAGCACATATAAAAGCAAAAAATTCTGTACTTTCTTGAGAGGTTGAGAAAGCACATCTATATAAAGACTGGTATAATCAGATCTGAATTAGATATTAGGTCTGTTTAGGTATCCTTTAACACGAGGAGAACGGCAAAGTGCTTCTGTGATATAGATACAGATGTTTCTTATCAGCAAAGATTAAATGCATTTATGATTCATGCACTGCACTCTTGTGATCTGATCTTGTGGGGCAGATATCTCTTTTTATTGAAACAAGAATAAATGTTGTACAAAAGTTTTGCCAAACTACTAGTAAGTTGGATTGAAAGGTCTCCTGGACCTGCCTAGGATGTATTTTGCGTTTGATAGATGACATGTAGTTTTTCTGTAGAAGTATATGATACCTTTCCTGTTTTTCCTCAAAAAATACAGAACACATAGGTAACTCCATTATTGTGAATTGAGTTATAAGAAGGAAGCCCTTGAGGATTTAATTTATGTTTTCTCAGATTTCCTTAAATCTGCTTTAGCCTCCCAAACCTGCCTCTGAATCTGCTTTTGTTTCAAATACAGGGAACATATTGAAGGAAGTTGTATTTCTTGGAGATTTATATTCAAGATGCAAAACTATGTTCCATCTGGCAGCAATACGTAAAAGTCATTGTATTATAAAAATGTGACAGACATGAATTCATCCACCATCTGCAAGCTTCCACGCAGTACAAGCCAACTTTATGGCTATTTATTCATGCTTTCAATGCTTTTGCGGTATATAACCTTTCTTGTCTCACTAGGTATCCTGACAAATGAGGGTGCTGATTTTTTCTCTTGCCATCTTTAGTTCAGACTATTAATGATTCTTGCTACCTAAAGTACTGTATTTGTTTACTTATAACAATAGATAGATGCACCTAAATTTTATCTGATAATGCTTTATGTAGCTCTGATGAGACTATAATTATGGTTGCTTAGTGTAATTTGAATTTTGGTAATGCACTGGTGTTATATGATATATTTTCAGTGTTTTAAAAATTAGTGAAGTTTATAATTCTACCCTAGTTTCCATAAAATACAGAAACAATGAATCTGATGTTTTCTAAGATGGAAATAGTAAATTATACAACTATTATGCCAATCTTTGTATTTACTTTATCCCAAAGACATCCTGTAAAGTAACTGTGAGAGTTAGGGCTTATGACAAGTATCCATGAATCTATTTTTAGAACTGTCCTAATTGTTCATGACCCATATGAACTTATGGAAACCAGTGAGACTCTCTTTTCTGTGATATACTTTTCTTTTAAATTGTCAGTTGCCAGAAAGAATTAGTTATTTGACAGCATGTGTGATAAGTGAATATAAGAAACATTAGAAAGACAGAAGGGAAAAAACCCAAACTGTTGCTCGGAACAATGATTAGCTGTGATTAGAGGTCCCTATATTTTCTTTTTTTACAAGATGGTAATTGACATATACATACTGTTGATGTTAGCATTTTTCCTCTGAGAGGCATTTACTCACAGTCATTCTCCCTTACTGTGGTGTCCAGTACCAAAGAAACAAAAAGAGTATAGGACTTTATTTGAACTTTTGGACAAATTGACTTATTTTTAGTTTCAATTATCTTCTTACATCTATCTAGGGGTTATGGAAAATAATTTGTTTCATTTAAATACCATGTAGCTCATAGAAAAGTTAACTTGCATGTTCTTTCTCACATCTACCTTTTGAAAAAGAAAGAAGCAGATGAAAACAAGGACTATAAAATCTAAATTGTTTCTGAAAGCATTTCCTTTACCAGTGTGTCAAGTTTGGACTTTGTAGATTTGGGTGGGATCTATCTTGCTAACTTTGGATGTCTTAAAGCAGAATGGCCGAAGAGTGATCCATATGATTTACTTTTGACATCTATTTTATGATGAGATAAATTCCCTCAGGACATGTCTGTCTTTCCTTTGACTGATAAGGGACCCTGGGGTGGTGAATTCAGAGTTCGATACCTAAGGAGACATGTATATCCTGTCACTGGTGTCTTTGAGGGGCCAGAGAGGGTCTCTCTGAATAAATCTGCCAAAGAAATGCCTGGGTATTTTGACAAAAAGCATACCAGTCTCGACCAGAAAATCTGAATTATTTTAGTTTTTCACACACAAGCTAGCTGAAAAAAATCATGATGGTTCAAACCCCACAAATGTGTGTAGGAAGAATGTGGCATTTTCTCCCTGTGTTCCCATATGTATCTTACCATTGTGAAATGTGAGTCCCTGGATCCAAAATCCCATGTTTGAGTCTATAGTTCAATTCAATTTTTATAAGGCTAATGTCAATATCTCTTCTGTCATCATCTAATATGTCCACATCTGACACAAAGGTGGTGTGACTCAATTGCAGAATCATCTTTGTAGCCAGTACCTACCAAAGAACAAGAAGATAACAAAAAGGCAGGCATAGAAACAAAACTAAACTGTCTTGACATCATCATCTCTGAAAGGCAGTGTTGCTAGCTGAATATACGTAATGGAGGCTGGAAGGTGGTATCTGCAGGCAAACACATTTTGCCTGCAGTGGTTAGACTATCAATTATTGTAGTGTGAGATAAAGCTTGCATTATTATGGAATAAGATAGTTACAGTATTAATGCAGAGATATAGAAAATTATATTCTGACTATTACAGAAGATATTAAAAAAAACGAGTATGCTGACTGTTTCATTTCCAATTTTCATCAAAAGACAGAATTTGGTATGCACTCTTTTTGTTTGTATTCAGTAAATTAGAACTAGTGTCATCCTCCAGTGTTTGTAGAATACTGAGAGTGATACTGCTAATTTTCATTTCTTTAGCTCCCCAGAAACCATGGAAAGATTACATATGAGATGAAATACATAGCTTTAAAATTACAAAACATGAATTGACTTGTATATTGGTATGCAACCAAAATGCATACTATAGAAATGCATTGTTGAAAGTGGATTAATATCGCACTATAACTGATGATGTGATGAACCATAAAAACCATTCATTTCTGAAGATGGGTTCCTCTCCAACTTGAGTTACTTGAGCCTCATCTGTGTGAAAAATTCATCAGTTTTAGCAATAATCTCAAAAACCAGAGGGGTTATATTAAACCCAAACTTCAGTCTAAGCAATCCTGAAACTGAAGTTCATGTGCTCAGATCTGAATACATTAAATTGAACCTAAACTTGGGAACTCTATCTAATTGATGAGCTAGAAAACGTTTTTACCTCTTTTTGTTGCCAGTTTGGGTGGCAGGCCAAAGACAATTAGAAAGGGAACAAGCTGCTGCTTCTACCTTTTCTTACTCATGCTCCAAGTAGGAATTTTGAGTTCTGCTGTTCCAATTCAGGTGTGAACTATTGGTTTTTCCATGAACTTTTTAACTGTATTAATTTCTGTGGTAATTAATACCGATTTCTATACTATACTATCTATTTTGTTAAAGAATTTTATTATGACAGTATGCAATAGGTCACATAACTTTTAACAAAAACTATGCTCTGGAAGAGTCTAAGAAAATACTCCCAAATCTTGTGGTGTATAAAGATCCATCTGTCGCCAATACATCCCTAATTGGTGCAATTTTCAAGGGACTCAAAGGCAAAATTTTTACTGGCTTTAGCAGGGATGAGATTTTACCAAGGTCTTTTTCAAACTTGGTTCAGTTGAAAATTATGTGAGTGCCACAATATTCTATTCAAGTGCTGCCAAAATTAAAAAAAAAAAAAAAAAAAAAAAAAAGAAAGAAAGAAAAAAAAGACAAAAGCTTTAGGTCTTTGTAACAAAAGAATAATAAAAAATACATTGCAGTTAGCATCTTCAAGGATATATAGCTTAATAGAGTCTTTGGGGGTTTATGCTTCCGACTCAGTATTTGTCACTTGCCCATTGCTTCCTCTGTGGCAGATTTTTATATAGTGAGTGCAATGATACTTCTTTTCCCTTTCCTCTTCCATCATTTCCTTGGGAGACACTGCAACAATTGCAAATTTATGCTTCTTACCTTGAAGCTAGCACTTGACAGAGAAGAAACAACATGAACTTCATCAGACAGGAGTGACAGGCAAATGAGGTAAGGTTGCCAAGCAGGAGGTGACAGAAAGTTAGTTTTAAATTTACCTTGAGAATGCCCGTAAGATCTTGCAAGATTTAGTTCACTGTAACTTCACTTTATTCCATCATGGTACATTTTCTGGGTAAAATAACATGTATCTGTGAAATTAATGAGGCACACATGTTGATGGTGGAAGCGTGGCAGTAGCATGAAAGCAGTAGGATTAAGAGATCTACTAACTGAGTATGAGTTTGGCAGAATGTATGTGTTTTCCTGAACTTAAGCCTTTATTTTGAACAAAGTTCAAGAGCTCAATTGCAATCACGGCTTCAATCATATGCTTAAAATGTAATGCCTAATGAAAGAAACTGCTACTAAGAGGACAAATATATTTGTCCTCACTTTCACTCTAGAAAAGAGAACAATAATACCATATTTTACAATACTGAAGTTTGGGTAATTCTTTAGGGATTCTCTAAGTCACTAGGTAGAGGGAGAGGAAAAAAGTACAAAACAGGAGGAAAAAAACCCAATTAGAATAATATGATCTGTTCGACTTGTGGGAAGAATAAAATATCACAGGACTACATTCACTGTCTAGTAAGTTATTGAAATAAATTAGTAGTACATGTCTCATTTTTCTGGT